TTAATAGTTTGGTAGAAATTGAAAACACACCCGTCTYACCTGGACTCCGTGCTTAGCATACTTTATACACTTAATTTTTCTTTTTCTATTTAAGAGAAAATAKTGATTTTACTATTATTCATTGTGATATTTTACAATTTAACAATAACTTTTAAAAACTTAATTAGATCTTTCTATTACAGTGTGAATTGATTTTATTTAAAAAGAGTGAGAAGCAGTATTTGTGTGTGTGTGTGTGTGCACGCACCTGATTATAGTGTAGAAACTTGACCCAGGCAATTAGGGAATAGTGTGCTTCATGTCATTTGTTTTACTTGGCTTTAGTGCTGGGGATTGAACCCAGGGCCTTGTGCATGCTAAGCATGTGCTCTTCCACTGAGCTACATCCTCAGCTCATGTGATTTTTAAATTAATGAAAGATGTTGGGCTTTCTAGTTCAGAATTGCACACTCAGTAGGAGATGGAGCCAAGATGAAAAGCATAAGGTAGAGTCCTCATTTTGTATGATTGAACTGTGTTTCTGCCAGAAAACATAAGTTCTGTATGTTGGTGCTCATCACTACTTTGGCATTTGGAAAATGAGAATATATAGAAAGAAGACCAAGAACCCAGAATACACTTGAAGTTGAAAACATRTTTGTTTGTTTTTTGTTTTTATTTTTGTACCAGAGTTTGAACCCAGAGGCACTTTAYACCTGAATCATATCCTCAGCCCTTTTTATTTAATTTTTTTTTTAAACTTGATACAGGACTTTTCTGAGTTGCTGTGGCTGGCTTTGAGTTTGTGTCCTCTTGCCTCAGCCACCTGAACTGCAGAGATTACAGGTGTGCACCACTGTAATTGGCAACATGTATTTTAAACCTCCCCTATTTTGCAATTATCATTTGAACTGGTTGAGAAACATATTCTCTTGTATAATCCTATCAATCATCTTCAGGACTGTGAGGGGCTTATTCATGCATTCTTGATTTCATCCACTGTTGAAATACAGAATCACCTCTTACACAGACCTACTGAGTAAAAACACCTTCAAAACTTGATTGATTTGCAGGGCACCTAGAGAAAATTTGAAACTGTGATCAACAGACTGTTTTCCAGAGTAATTTCCAGGGTTATCTAAAGTCTACCAGACCACCTTCGTGACAACTTTCACTTTTCTGAGATGTTTAAAATGGAAATAGCCAACATGTCTTGAGTGCTTCCTGGGTGTCAGGCAGTGTTCTACCTGCTTACTCTGTATTAACTCACTCCTCACAATGGCCCAAGAAGTGGATTCTGTTCCACTTAACAGATGCAGATACTGAGAGGTTTTGGAACTTAATCATGCCACTGGTTGCTGATACAATCAGGGTTCTGCCTCCTGAGCTCATACTCTAGTCCCATGATTATATTGAAAGGGTAGCTTGTAAGTGAGCTACTCTGTTCCTGTTTGGGGATAGGAATTATTATAGTGTGATCAGAGGGTCTTTGTGAAAGGACAGAGCTACATACTTTTCTCAGTTGAGGAGGCCCTATCCAGTAAAGAATAGTCTAGGAAGAAATGAGGGATTATGTCAGGAATTCACTAAGGAAAGAATGTCCAAATAGCTCATTTGAGTTTGAGGCCGGCTCAGAAAGACTCCTGGTGGTGATGAGAGGAGAAAGAAGGAAGAGTATTCATCACAGGATCTCTGTATATTTTATCTGCCTTTGTACTCCTGCCTCAACTCTGCTGTAGGAATTGCATCTGTAGCCTCAAACCCAGTAGAGCATAGGCCTTCTTTATATTGTACAAGTAAAAATAAAGTGATGTATGGAAAATTACTCAGCTTTAAAGAAGAATGAAATTATGGCATTTGCCAGGAAGTGGATGGAGTTGGGGAATACCATGCTAAGTGAAATAAGCCAGTCCCCAAAACCAAAGGCCAAATGCTTTCTTTAATATGTGGATGCTAATTCACAACATGGGGTGGGCTCTAGAGAAGAATAGAGTTACCTTAGATGAAGAAGAGGGAGGGTGGGGAGGGGATGTGGGGATAGGAAGGATAGTAGAATGAAACAGACTTTATGTACATATGTGACTGCATGACACAGTTATGTTGTGATTCTACAACATGTACACACAGAAAAATGAGAAATATCTATGATATATCAAAGTGCATAAATGCAGTATATAGTCATGTATAACTAATTAAAACAAATAAAAAAATTWAAAAATTAATGATGTTAAATAGAGCACTTCCCCCCAGTCTCAGAGTATTCACATATAGCTTGGATTAAAATTTCCTAGGAATAGCTTTCTTTCTTTGTCTTCTCATAATATTGGATATTGGTATTATGATTTCTCTATCCTTAGAGCAGTATACTGTGTCACATAAATGGCACACTTTTGCACAGTGCCTTTCTTTGAAAGGCCAGTCAACTTTGCTACCTATGTGAGCTGGACTGAAGGATAATGACTGATGTCATTCATTGAGTTTCCTAGTATGTAGCAGCAAATACTTCATTTAGTCTTCCTAACAGGCCTGCAAGGTAAGTATTCATTYTCTGTTGTATAGATAAGAAAAATGACCTCAGGAAGGATGAGTGATTGTCCAAGGCCTTGCAGCTAATTGGTGAAGTCTAGTTCTGAAAAAGCCCTTGTTTTTCTCATTGACTAATTATTCACTAAGGAGGCTCTCTTCATCTTTCTTCTTGAAAGTCTAAAGCAGACCTGCTCTCTTGAATTGAAAGTACCTCTCATGTAGAATGCATAGCTGATCCCAGAGTTTTACCTCTTTTGTAAGAGGAGGTATTACTTTGCCAGTAGCTTCCTTTCTATGGCCTGATACATTTTTTAAAGCAAAAAAACAAACAAAAAAACCCCCAAACTCTCCAGTACACCCAATGCCTGCTTGAAACAAACAAATTAGCAAAAACAAAGCACAAGCAGGTGTGCATGCATACACACACACACACACACACACACACACAAACACACACAAACACAAATAAAACCAACCAGCCTCTGAAGCTTGAGGGCCTTTGGTCTTCACAGTTGCCCTTGGAGAGCATGTTGATGGGTCCTTGGATCATAGTGGTGCAAAAGTTAATCTTCCTGTTCAGAGACCTATTAACTCTTTTAAGTGCCGACTTTCAGGTCCTTGGACTGTCACATTAAGTCCTGARGTGTGGGGCCTTAAGGGTTCTGTGAAGGAAAAAATTATTCTGGCACTTGTTAGACTGTCAAGGAAGAACTTTATTCAAGACTATCACAATAGGYGTCAAGACTTTTAACAATAGACAAGAGAGATTGGGCTCAAATCCAAATACAGCAAAAACAARTGGGGATTTATAGCCCCGTTAGAGCAGGTGTGTGTGTGTGGAAAGTTTGTAGATAAAAAATGACCTAGAAGAGACATCAAGGGTAAGGGTGGTTCTAGCTGAATCAAGTCTTGGCAAAGGATTATACATCAAAGATGGGGACTGAGGAATTAGAGCAGATATTGAAGGTAGGGGATTCTCTATAAACTAACTTAGCAGGACTCTTACAGTGGGCTATGTAGACCCAGTAAGGATGGAAACCTTGGTGGAGGCCTACTGGAAGAGAGCTCAGATAGGTGTGACCAAAACTGATCAAGGAAAGTGTCTTTATCAGTTCCTATTGCCCGTGTTAAATACAAGGKTTCAGGTATTGGACTTGAACTCATGCAAGAAGGCTGCTATTAAGTGAAGTATAGAGTAAATTCCAGAAAAAATGCATTTTATTACTGGTGTAGACATCTTTGACAGGGTAAGCATAAAAGGTCTGAATAGTTCTGAGAAACATGACCCTTAAAGTTTCTCTGTCTCACAGAATGTTTGTTATTTTTAATTTTCTTAACWAATTTAACTATTGCTTATTAAGTGCCAGGCACTGTTCTAAATCCTTTGCAATGATTATTTCATTTAATCCTGAAAACTGTCCTATGAGTTGGTTATGCCATTGTTATTCTGGTTTTGTGCAGGATGGAACAAAGGCCCCCAGGAATAAACTAATTTGCCAAAGTTACAGACCAAGCAAGTGTATGTGGGGGTGGTGGATTTCAACACAGGCAGCCTGGCTCCAGACTGGGGCTGTGCATTCTGAATCACCCCACTGGGGTACATCCTAGGCTGTTGGCCTTTCACGGATTATGTCTWACTTTTCTGGGCTTTTCTTTTTTCTGCCTAGGAATAAAGAGTTCTTTTTGTGAGTTGTGGTAGACTCTGCGTCTTGTTGGAGAGTCAAGAGAGTGTGTTTAGCTTGAGTCTCTGTAAATCACAAAGGTATTTGTAAATAAACTTTCTGGGCACCTTTCACCTTCTAGATTTAGCTAGTAGTTTATTGGTTAAAAACATATTTCCTACCTTCCCCACAGTCTGTACAGCATATCATTAGTGATTCTTTCTAATCAACATTTGGCTTTTTTCGCTCACTGACAACCTCAGTGACATTCCTTCTTTTTCTTTTTTTTTTCATAAATAGTCCATTTATAATGATGGCTAATTCCTTGATTTGATAAATTGGCTTCCATAAAATATACTTCTGGCACCAAAACTCTTTTTAAAGAGGCAAATCCTCTTTGAGCTGGGTAGATCTAGTTTCTAAAATGTTTGTTTAGTTGTGTCTTTAATTTAGCTTAAGTTTGCCAAACTGGTTTTTAATTAGATTAGTTAATTTAACTGTTTTTTTTTCCCCATAGTAGGGATTGACCTTGGGGTGCTTTACCATCCTTAGTCTTTTTTTTTTTTTTTTTTTTTTTGAGACAGCCGCTTACTAAGTTGCTGAGAATCTCACTAAGTTGCTTAGGCTAGATTTGAACTTGTGATTCTTCTGCCTCAGTATCCCAAGTTGCTGGGATTATAGGCATACTCCACTGTACCTGGCACCAAACTGGTATTTTAAAAGCTTTGGWTGATATGATACTAGGATCAAAGTTACATGATAGTACATGTGGAAACTCTTCAGTATTCCGTAGTTCCTCACCTTATCACCTTTTTTCATGTATTTTAATTGCAGATCTGTCTATGGCAGTACAGAAATTTTCCCARTCACTACAAGACTTCCAGTTTGAATGTATTGGTGATGCTGAAACAGATGATGAAATTAGTATTGGTGAGTACTACCATTCCTCAGTATCCTAAGTTATGATTTTAAAAGTCTTATTTATTTCATTGAGCTCCAACAAATCCACACACCTAAATAATAAACCTCTATAAAACTCTAAGGGTGATTTTGAGCAGGGGGGTTGTGGAAAAATATTATAAATTGTTTTTCAATTTAAAGACTGTTTTTTTTCCCACAAGGAAATTACTTTATCAGCCTATAACCTAGGTCAACCCTCTTGAGAAAATCTGGATAACAATGTTTGTCTTTGCCTCAAAGTAAGTCATTAATTCAACCAAACATGTATTGGGCATCTACTATTAAATATGCTTGGTACAGGTTTTAAGAGTTATCTTACTTTTTTTTTTTTTTCTTAATACGGATTTCCTTTTTAACTTGAGCATTTGTTTGTAAAGAAAACAAATCATGTTTAAYTAATGATGATGTATTAAACTGGTTTCTGGCAGGACACAGAACATAACTGCAGATTAGGAGACTTGAGACCTAGTCTGATTTTGCCACAGTCATTTAGCAATCCYACCCTAGAGAAGGCATACTCCTTTTGAATGTCACAGATTCATTTCCTGTAAAAGCAGAGGTTCAGTTATGTGATCTTGAAATTTTTATCTATATGTGAGTTTTTGTTGTTTGAAGATGAGGTTCATGTAGCATTCTTTGCCCATCTTTTAAAGATTGCTACTTGCCAGTTTGTGCATGTAGGTCCTCTTATAGGCTGGATTAGAGATGTGGTTCATAATTAAAAGAATGTCCCAAATATATGTGGAGATTTTAGAGAATAATACCAAGTGTGCCCACTTTCCAAGTATAAAAATACAAATTACAAGTACTGAGAACAGTTATTTTCACACTTTAACGTGTACATGAAACACCTGGAGAGCTTATTAAATGCAGATTTGATTCAATAAACGCTGGGTGGAAGGTGTCTGTATTTCTTTTTTTGTTTGTTTGTTTTGCAGTACTGGGGATTAAAYCTGAGCCTTAGGCATGCTAGGGAGCACTCTACTTTTCAGCTGTATCCCCACAGTTCTRTATTGCTAATAGACTTTTGGGTGATGTCAGTGCTGCTGGTGCCTGGATCATACTTGAATAGTACACCCTCCAGACCTCCCCACAATCAGATTCCTCTCCTTCCTATGGTCTTTATTTTTTTTTTCCTGTACTTTTACCAGTTATGTCTGTGTTTCCAAACAATGTGTTTTATTAGTTTTAAAAATCTTGGTAGCAAGTCCAAAATTTKCTGTGAAAAGAAAGAAGTACAAAAGTCCTACAAAAGAAGGGCTGTYGGGAAAAGATGAGCTGCATGAGTTTCACCAAGGCATTAGCTTGCTTATATTCCCAAGAATTCTCCTGGAAAAAAATCACTTGGCAGAGTGCACAGTCCTTGGACAAGCAGTTTCTACATGTGGAATTTACATCAGATGTACATGATTAAGTACAAGTTGGTGGTCTTTCTGCCAGTGATGACTTTATCTGCTCATTCCTCTGTGACTGTGAGTTATTCTGAAGGTCTGTAGAGGTGGCTGGTCTCTGGGATCATGGGTAGCTACTTCTACCTCAGTCTGGAATTAAAAGTGGCCCAGACTTACCTGGTAGGGAGTCTCCAGGAAAAGGGGAGAGCCCTGCCACATGATCCTTAAGCTGAATGACTATTTTGTCTTCACACGATGCTTGGGGAAGACCAGTGTTAGTGGTCATGCACCATCAACATTTGGAGCAACAGTGACATTTTGCATGTCCATCTCTGTCTCTGCTGGGGATCTAACTCAGGGCCTGGTATATGCTAAGCATTAGCTTTGCCACTGAACTACAAACCCAATCCTTGATTGTCACTTTTTGATATTTGTGACATAATTATCTAGTCCCCATCATAGATGGATAAAAGCCTTGATATATTGATAAGAGAATAATACACTAACATTATTATTTTAAAAAATGCAAGATTCATATAACAATAATTTTTTTTTTTAAGTTGCAAAACTAAAGTCCACTATGTTTGAGGCCAGATCTGTTTCTTTTTTAAGCCGTTTAAACTTTAGCAGTTAACCTAAGGCTTTACTCATCATAGAACTTAAGTTACTTTGTTGAATAAATGATGTAATTTTCTGTACAAACTTTAATTTTTTCCACATTATATGCATATTTGTCTTAATAGAATAAGACATAAAATTATGTGTTTTTTCCTTTGGAAAGAAGATTGTAGTGAATACTTTTGGGTTTTCACAGATATTATTTTTAATGGTATTTCCTGACTGTATTTCATCAGGTTCATACACAAGAATTTATGAAATAATCTCTGGAGTACATCCAGATTGCTTCTGGTTGATCTCCTACCTGTTATTGTTAATAGGACAATATATATCTTTATGCATATTCTTTTAATTTCTTTCAAGCATCTTACTAAAAYCTCTCTTGAAATCACACATGTCTGTAGCCATTGCAGAGGATGGGTTTTTAGTCACTCTTCTCTTTGGAATTCTAGGCAGATGTCAGGTGATTTTCCTGGGTTGCGATAATCTTGTGGTGGTCTATTTGATTCTTTCCACTTTGGCTAAATGAACAGTTGTGCAACTGTTGCAGGTTAGTTTTGAAAGGTCTGGATGGATCAGAAAGCTTCCTATAGGCAATTAATATTAGATTAATTTCTAATATTTAAGGGCCTCAAGAAGTTAGATGATAGTTTGGAGATCAGATGATGAATAATATACAGGAGTAAAGTTCCTTACTAATTTTAGATCAGGAGGCTTATTTGAGTACTGTGTACTTGAATCTGATTTTAAATACCAAAACTTTGTTAGGAAAACCTAACTCAGAGCTAAGCAATTTAATTAATTAATTTATTTATTTTTGCAGTGCTGGGGAACTGGGGCCTTATGCATGCCTGGCACATTAACATAGGCTGAACTCCACCCTTGGCTACAAACAAAGTGATTTATAAACAAAAATTCTTCTTGGAACAACTAATGYGARAATACAGATATGTTCCTATAACCTAACCATCCAGCATTCTTATTCTTAAACGGAGCCTCTAAATACATTGTATACAGTTTTTAAAAAMATTCTATAATAATAAAATAATAGAAGACTCCGAATAATCATTCCCAACATGGGGGAATTATGAAGTTATCCCAGCCTGTTGTTCAAGAACCATGAGCTGGGAGAAATGTTTCACTAATATGTAAGGCTGGTGTGGATGAAGTGCAAGGATTACTCCAGTGTACCGTAGTAATCAGCTTCAGTTTTGCATGAGAAGGTACAGAGTTTCAGCTAACTTTACTATAGCTTGTCAAAGCCCCAGTTTCAGCTGTTTCTTTATTCCTCTGATTTAATGAAAGAGGAATGAAGTAAGACAGCTGTGCCTATTAGCATTGAGTAATATCTAAAACTCTCAGCCAGAGTAGTCTTGAGACTTACAGATGACATAAGTGCAAAACTTGATGACTTACAAAAAAGCTCATCTAAGTAAGCCATGTGAGTGCAAAATGACTTGTGAAGTCAGTCTGCTGATGGATATGGTGGTGGTGGGAATAGAAAGGGCAGTGGAAGMACTAGAGGGCTAGTAAGATGCCTATTAAGATAAGATGACTGCTTTCAGTATACTTGCAGTAGAAGGGGATGAAATATAGATTTTGAGTGAAATAACAAAAAGTAGGTGGTATTATTCTATTAGCATAATTCTCTCATTGGTGGAAGTGGAAGCTGTTCTGGAGTTTGTTAGATTTGTAGAACTGTTTCTGAACTGTCAATCTTCCTTGCCTTTTAGACCATATTCTTTTGGCCTTGTGCTTGCTGTTTTTTTTTTTTTTTTTTTTTGCTTTTGCTTTTGCTTTTTATTTTATTTTATTTTTTGTTTTTGTGATACATTGCTGGCTAGGAAGGAAGCAAAATGGGACTAGTTGTCCAGAACCCAGTGGGGAATTCCTGTGGCCCTGAGAGCAGACTCTTGTTTCCAGGGCTGAAGAGCCAAGCAGGGAGGCATCCTGTCTCTGTTTTTAGCACTCTCTTTTCCATCTGAGAGTACCAAGAGGCTATTGCTTTTCTCTTCTTTAAGCATAAATTAGCTACAGGTGAGGGTTCACTGGCTCCTTTTCATCTTCCCACTGCAGCTCAGGATGAGGGGGAAGCAGCCTGCTGAGTCCATCCAACTTCCCACAGCTGCTCTCACTCCCCATTTTTGTACTGCTTTGGATTTTTGAACTGAGAAAAGACCTTAAGTTAGGAATACAGTGCTAGATACTTGGGGTTTGGAAATTGGTGGTAGAGGGGAGAGGGGTGATTAAAAACTGGTATAAGCTTCAGTCCTACTCAAATAATATACTTATAGGGATATATTAGATATAAAATGTCCCATTATTAAACTGTAATTACACAGTAATATGCATGCCAGTGTGAAAACTCAGTACCTATTTCATCAGTGCTGATACAGATGCATGCATGGGAATTGATAATGTTCCAACACGAATCATGTGCATAGCCTTAAATCTTACTAGTAGGAAACAAAAGGCTACCTGTACAGAAAATGAAATTSTATTCTATTGAAAACACTGTTTACATGGGTTCAGTTCAAACGTCTCGAAGTTCAAAGATATTACTGTGAAAGCTTCGCATCTTAGTATATTTCTTTGGAATTTATACCTATACCAGAGGCAGAACATGCAACTTACTAACTGGGTTGTTCTTGTATTTATAGCCTACAGTTTGAAATCACTATAAGACCAAGTCTAGATTTTTTTTTTTAATCAGATATTGTTAGTCAAGCTGAACTCCTGCCAATTAAAATGTTAGTCATTAATATGAGGCAAAGTTTATTCATTCTGTGTAATCTTGGAAACCATTGGAAAGTCCATTTGCCTTTGTGCATAAACAGCTTGGTCAGTGATGTTGTGTGATAGTTAGGGCAACTCTTAGTAAAGTCTTGGACAGTATGAGCTTTGCACTCAAGAGATTAAACATTTACCAAGAAGGAGAGTCAGTTTGCTAGTAAATATTTT